GGAGGGAGGGGGAGCTGAGGATCGGGGGACGGGCCCACAAAAACAGCGGGGGGAGGGGCGGGCCCCGTTGGCCCCACGTTAGCTACGGGCCTGCCCCAGGGAGGCTGTAGAAACCCTGAACCTGTCCCTGGAAGCACACCTGGGCCAGGTGCAGGCGAATAAACTGAAGCTTTATCCCAACCAGATGAAGGTGCTACTGGGGAGACGAAAGACTGACCTAGGATTTCAGGCGTCTCCCAATTCTAGATGGGGCTGCGCGACCCTCAAAGGAGCAGGACTAGGGGTGCTCCTGGACTTAGGCCTACTGCTGGATAAGCAGGTGCCAGGTCTGGCCAGGAGTGCCTACTACCAGTTTTAAAGAAGTATCTGAAGAGGTGAGCGGTGACTCAGGAAAGCTCATCCCCTGACACAAATTTTGCTAGTCTTTCAGGTGCTGCTGGACTCTTACCCTTCTCTACTGCCACCGACAGACTAACACGGCTACCCAACCATCTCAATCACTTTTGACTCGTAAGCCAGCTGCAGCCTTTGCTGGGCAGAAAAGAGCTGGTTATTGTGATGCATGCCCCGGTAACACCAAACAGGCTTTTCAAACAATGCCAACTCTTCCAGCGACAGAGTACCAAGGGTGGAAGTGGACTCAGCACCCACAGCAGAGACAGTGAAGGTCCCCAGCCACCATTCAATTATTTGGGGGAGGAGGGAACTGTTCTCCTTGTCCAACTGCAAATCCCGCTCTCCCCTCCCCCCTCCTTTTCTGTGGCAATCACGATAAAGAACTTGAGAAGAGCCTTATTGGACCAGATCAATGGTCTAGCCAGTCCAGTGTTCTGTTTCACTTGATGGCCAACCAGTTCCCCTGGAGGACCAATGGCACAGGCCATAGAGGCCAAAGCCTTCCCCTGATGTTGCCTCCTGTCACCGGTATTCAAAAGGTTTCACCCTCCTCTGAACATAGAGGTTCCCTTTCTTCACCAGTGCTGGTAGCCATTCATGTACCTATTGTCCACGGACCTGTCTAAAGCGGCCTTTCAAAGCCATCGATGCTCAAGGCCATCACTGGCTGCGGTCACACGCGCCGGTTGAGGCGGAGGGGACGCGAGGCTATTCCCTTCGTAGGAATCTGACATGCAGTTGCGAGATCACGCCCCCCCCCCACCCGTGTAGCTGCAGTCGCAGCCCGTCGCTGTGTGATCAGACGCAACTGCAGGTGAGTCAGGGTCCTTTTTGCCTTTTGTTTACCGTGCGCATAAACGAGGCATCGCACCTCCACACCAGTGTTCCCTCTAAGCTGAGTTAGTGTGAGTTAGCTCACAGTTTTTTCAGCCTCCGGCTCACACCTTTTTGTCTGAGCTCAGGAAGGGCTGGCGCCAGAGCCAACTAATTTATGCCGTAGCCAAATTGCTCGCTCACAACTTTAGTGTCAGGAGCTCACAAAGTGGGATTTTTGCTCACAGGACTCCGCAGCTTGGAGGGAGCACTGCTCCACACTGAGGGCCCCCTTATGGAGTATGCGACGAAGCGCATACTGCGAAGGGTGGGTGGGGGAATGGCACCAAGCCAGGATGGCCTGATCAGACCATCCCGACAGCTTGAGAGTTCGCTTGAGCGATCAGACAGGATTTTTTCTGGGGGGTTTTCCTGCCCATAAAAATTTGTTTATTTCTGCTTGCCATTTCTGAAATGTTTTTTTCCCTAAAGGAATAGGTAAGGCTCTAAAAAGAAATTGGTATGCCTTACGGGCCCTGTGGAATGGCACAAGGTCCCAACCACTGCTGCCCTCAACCAAAAGCCTGGCAGAACATCTCCGCCTTACGGCCCCTGTGGAATTGCACAAGGTCCCAACCACTGCTGCCCTCAACCAAAAGCCTGGCAGAACATCTCCGCCTTACGGCCCCTGTGGAATTGCACAAGGTCCCAACCCTGCTGCCCTCAACCAAAAGCCTGGCGGAACATCTCCGCCTTACGGGCCCTGTGGAATGGCACAAGGTCCCACAGGGCCCTGGTGTCAATTTGGCAGAGAGTTCCACCAGGTTGGGGCCAGAACTGAAAAGACCTTGGCTCTGGTCAAGGAAATCCTGACTTTAATCGCGTCTAAGTCAGATCTAAAGGCGCGTGTGATCCCAGCCACAATCTGAGCTGTCAGGAAAGTCCAGGGTTAATTAGTCATTGAGTAAAATACTTGCTTTCGTCTGTCCTGAGCCAACCCTTCAGATCGGCTTCAATTTTAGATGCCCTCTTCTGCCCTCCCTTATGCTCACATAAATAAATGGAAAAGCTCAGAGACAAATGTACAACACCACAACCCAGGCTATAAGCCAAAACATTCAAAACAAAAAAACCAGACCTCCCAGTATAAGGACTATAGGCCCCTGCCACACGGGGCGGGCAGAGCAGCTTACAAACTCCTTTCCCTTCCCCTCCCCACAACAGACACGCTGTGAGGTAGGTGGGGCTGAGAGAGCGCTTGACAAAAACTGCTCTTTTTCAAGGACAGCTCTCATCAGAACTACGGCTTGCCCAAGGTCATCCAGCCAGGTGCAAGTGGAGGAGTGGGGGAAATCAAACCCGGCTTTCCCAGATTAGAGTCCTCCCACTTAACCACTACACCAAATACTTGCTTTTGTCTGTCCTGAGCCAACCCTTCAGATCTTCTTCAATTTTAGATGCCCTCTTCTGCCCTGCTCACATAAAGAAATGGAAAAGCTCAGAGACAAATATACAACACCACAACTCAGGCTATAAGCCAAAACATCCAAAACAAAAAAACCCAGACCTCCCAGTATAAGGACTATAGGCCCCTGCCACACGGGGCGGGGGGAAGCATGGGCAAAGTGCGGCTTTTGAAAGCTGCACCAAAAGAGACATGCGGCGGCGGGATCACATAGATCCCCTGAGCCGCCGCGCAGTTCCTCCCCGGCACGATCAGATGCCGGGGGGAAGCGACTGAACGAAGAGTGCGGCAGCCGAACTGCGCATGTGTGCGCATGCGCAGTTCAGCCAAGAGCCTGGATTGCTCCGTACGACGGGCACGGCGGCGATCCCACGACTGCGCTTGATGCGGAGTTCCAAGTAAGTCCTCCTCTGTAGGAGGTTCTTTTTTGCAGCGGGTTTTCTGGCTTTAGGGACGGATCAGGGACGGGTGCGCGCCGCTTCCCAGATGTTGTGGTGACATCGCGCCCGTTTGCTGCACCCCCAATCCATCCCTCTCCTGGGCCAAAACCTTCCGTGTGACCGGGACCATTAGGAAGCAACAAAATTGGGGGGGAAACAGAGACTCATTCAGCTTTGAAGCTCAGCCTGATACAGACAGGTACAATATGAGAAATCTTCAGAGGAATTGAGGGCTAGTCCCAACATTAACTGTAGCAACCCCTGAGAAGAGGTGCCTTTAGAAATCAGAAAGTGCAATTACAATTCAAGGGAAACTCTAATACGATAAAGGTTGATTTGCTTCTGATGAAGTCTTGATACGAAACCAAGAGAAAGCCGGCTGCTTTGTAATGATACTCTTACTGCTATTATGACTGCTCCACTGCTATTAGCATTGTAATTTACAGCGTTCCAATGATTATTCCTTGGCTAACAGCAGTATAGAATTGTATTGTCTTATTATATATCACTGAGATATTGTATAGTATTGGCTATTATGCCTTGTATGTAATTTTGTATACTTTGAGATAATACCTAAGCATAAAGTACATATCTGAGTGCTTGAGTGGGTTCACCACTCTGTTTTTCCCCCAGTTTTGTTTCTTCCTTATAAGCCAAAACATGCCTGTGGTCAATATCTGAGTTGCAGGATGATCTGGGGTTAGACCGGAGCCTTGAAAGACATCTGGGAGACCATCCAGAGAGCCAGGGCCTCACAGAAGATCTTAGAAATTTTGGGGTCTTCAGTGTGGCTTTAACTCCCTTCTATCCCAATATCACTGATTATGACTGAAAACATACCTTTGTTCTGGTAAAACTGTAGGACACGTCAAAAACGTTAGTGTCTCAAAGACTTCAAGGGACTTTCCATAAGCTGAGCACTGATATGGTTTCTCCCCTGCATGGATTCTTTGATGAGAAGTAAGGTGTGAGCTCTGACGGAATTTCTTTCCACATGCTGAGCATGGGTATGGTTTCTCCCCTGTGTGAATTCTTTGATGGGAAGTGAGGCTGTCCTTCTGACTGAAGCTTTTCCCACACTCTGAGCATTTATACGGCTTTTCCCCAGTGTGGATTCTTTGATGGGAAGTTAGCCGTGAGTTGTCAATGTAGCATTTTCCACACGCTGAGCATTTGTATGGTTTCTCCCCTGTGTGAATTCTTTGATGGGAAGTGAGGCTGTCCTTCTGACTGAAGCTTTTCCCACACTCTGAGCATTTATATGGTTTCTCTCCTGTGTGGATTCTTTGATGAGAAACAAGGCTTGAATTATGACTGAAGCTCTTTTCACACTCTGAGCATTTATATGGTTTCTCCCCAGTGTGGATTCTTTGGTGGGAATTAAGTTCTGACCTCCAAACAAAGTCCTTTCCACAATCTGAACATTTATATGGTTTCTCCCCTGAGTGAATTCTTTGATGGGATGTTAAGTGTGAGTTGCGATGGTAGCTCTTTCCACACTCTAAGCATTTATATGGTTTTTCCCCAGTGTGGATTCTTTGATGGGAGGTGAGACTGTCCTTCTGGGTGAAACTCCTTCCACACTCTAAACATTTATATGGTTTTTCCCCTGTGTGGGTTCTTCGATGGTAAGTAAGGCGTGAACTGCAACTGAAGCTCTTTCCACACTCTGAGCATTTATATGGTTTCTCCCCTGTGTGGGTTCTTTGATGGTAAGTTAGTGTCTCCTTATGAGTGAAGCTCTTTCCACAGTCAAAGCATTTGTATGGTTTCTCCCCAGTGTGGACTCTTTGATGGGAAGTAAGGCTCTCTTTATGACTAAAGCTCTTTCCACACTCAGAGCATCTATATGGTTTGTCCCCTGTATGGATTCTGTGATGGTTAGTAAGGCTGGTCTTCTTCCTGAAACTCTTTCCACACTCTGAGCATTTATATGGTTTCTCACCTGTGTGGGTCCTTTCATGGGAAGTGAGTTGTCCCTTCTGAATGAAGCTCTTGCCACAGTCTGAGCATTTATATGGTTTCTCCCCAGTGTGGATTCTTTGGTGCATAGTGAGGCTCTGCTTACAAGTGAAGCTCTTTCCACAGGCCGAGCATTTATACGGTCGTACCCCGGTGTGAATTCTTTGATGGGATGTAAGGTTCGAGTACCGATTGAAGCTCTTCCCACACTCTGAACATTTATATGGCTTATTATCTGCGTCCGCCCTTTTCTGCAAAATAAAATTGTTGCTCAGACTCCAGCTCTTCCTATACTCTGTCAACAACTGCTCCCTGTTTCTTATTTTTTGACAGGTACCAAGGCTTGATTTACCAAGTGAGATTTTTGAACATAATTTACTCCCTCCGTTTCCTCTAGGACTTTCTTTTTGAACTGGAATTCCGTGGAAATCGGAACATTCAGAAGCGGTGGATCTCTTCCTCCTTTGCAGCTGGGCTTCCGGTTTCCTCCTCTGCTGTTTCTCCCCTCTCTTGGTCTCCCTCTCTGTTGGAATAAAGAGAATCCAGATGAGGGACTCGGGTGGGTCGCCATGTTGGTCTGAAGCTGTGTTGGTCTGAAGCAGCAGGACGAAGTTTGAGTCCAGTAGCACCTTTAAGACCAACTAAGTTTATTCTGGGTATAAACTTTTGTGTGCATGCCTACACCCAGAATAAAACTTCTTTGGTCTTAAAGGTGCCACTGGACTCAAACGTTGTTCCCAATGAGGGAGAAATTGAGCTTGCCATCAGTGAACTAACCTATAATCTATTTTGCCCAAAGATGGACATCCTAAACCAGGGGTGGCCAAACTGTGGCTCGGGAGCCACATGCGGCTCTTTCGCACATATTGTGCAGTTCCCAGCAGGGCGGCTGGGGAAGCGAAGGGGAGGGCACGCCTCCCCGATCGGTCTTCCCTTCCCCAATCAATGTTCCCCTCCATGGGTAAGCTCGAGGTTTCCCTCCCCAATCGGTCTTCCCTTCCCCAATCGATGTTCCCCTCCATGGGTAAGCTCAATGTTCCCCTCGAGGGTCAGCAGAGAAAGAAAGCAACTAACTTTAAATGCATTCTCAAAGGCCCCCCTCCCGCCGGTCAGCTTGGAAGAAGGCATTTCTCTCTTTAAATCCCTTCTCCAAGCCAGCTGACATGGGGGCATGGGGGGGGGCTTGGAGGATGCATTTAAAGTTAAAGTTGCTTTCTTTCCACATCTCCCTTTCTTCGTTTTTCTCTCCCTTTCTTTCCACCTCTCTCTCTCTCTTTCTCTCAGACATAAGAACATAAGAGAAGCCAGTGTTGGATCAGGCTGATGGCCCGTCCAGTCCAACACTCTGTCACACAGTGGCCAAAAAAACCAGGTGCCATCAGGAGGTCCAGCAGTGGGGCCAGGACACTAGGAGCCCTCCCACTGTTGACCCCA